CCGCCAAAAAACAAAACCGGTTTGACCGGTTTGACCTCCAGAACCTATATAACCGACCAGAAAACCTCGTCAGATTGCCTTTTTTGTCACGACCTATACCATTGAAGAGACCAGGAGGAGGAGAAGAAGAAAGAAAGATGCCTGCAAGATATTGTCGGATCGGTGCCATCATGGACATGGACGGATACATGGTAGATAAAGAGTTCATCCCAAAAGAACTTTCCATCAAGGCCCTCGGAAGTCTGGAACCTTTTTCTTGTCATTTTCTCAACGTGGAAAGACCCTTCAGAACCCTAAGCAAAAGAGATCAAAAGATTGCCGACTTCGTGTACGAGAACATTTTCAGCATCGCCTACGACAAGTACTTTTTTGGTCAGCTTTTACCTGCCAGCATCATGAGTGTCCTTCGGTGTGTATCACACGAAAACGTCGTGGTCGCCTACAAAGGTGGACGGTACGAGAGAGAACTTCTGGATCGACTCGAAATTGAATAGTTTAATTTAGAAGATATTGGCTGTCCTAAAGTCGAGCTGATACAACCCAATCGAGAGTATACCAGCTGTGGTCATCACGACAGAGATGATGGCCATTGCCCAACCACAGAAGTGCAACTTTTTGAACAATATTACAAGAATTATATGTGGGATCATGGACATGGTATGGAAAACGAACATTTTAAACTGGCGAATCCTTTAACCTTCCTAGATGCTGAAGATGATTTTGTCTTTCTAAATTGAACTATTATTATTGAACTAGTATTGATTTTTGATTCTTCTCCTCCTTCTGGTCAAAAGAAGGTGGTCTCCTTCTTGTAAAAATTAGTTTTTTAAGACGTCGAGTTTTGTTAAAATAAAACACATTTGTTAGAAAAAATGGCCGATTTTCTGACTCCAAAAATATTTTTTTTCAAAAAAATAATAATTTTTCCATTTTTAATCCTTATTTTTGCAAAAAATAGGCTCACTTCCGGTTAAAAACTAGTCACTTCCGGTTTGAGACAAAGTCACTTCCGGTCTAGGAACAGTTCACTTCCGGTTTGATGACGTCACTTCCGGTTCGGACCCAGGTCACCTCCCCCTCACTCGGACACAGGGATCCCGTTGCCTAGCAACAACAACCGCTGACCAGCAAGGATCGCGGGCGCATCATCCACGCGCAGACCGCTGACCGGCAAGTATCGCGGGCGCAGAAATTTCGAGGACCGCTGACCACCATGCACCGCGGGCGCATAGCAACAAGGTCGGAGGTTAGCAACAAGGTCGGAGACCGCACCCCGCTGACCAGCAATGATCGCGGGCCGGTCGTAGCCCCCAACTAACGCCATTACTACTGCTATTTCCGGTGAAATGCCGGGTAGCAGATTTCCGGTACAGAAAGTTGTCTGTTTCTGCATTTTAACAAGTAAGTTCCGAAAATATTTGCTGTCTGATTGATTTTCTTTATATTTCTTTTAATTTTTTGAAGTAATGTTTGTTTAAAGTATGAGAAAATTGCTGTTTCTTAGCGGT